TTAAGTAGGTTGATTGTGCAAAAACCCATGGCATCCTTGATATATTCTTGCAACTTAAAATTTATGCTTTTAGCTCCTCCAAATGAGAACAATGGTTATCCGCATGTTCATTGTGATGATGGGTCTGAATCAACAACTTGATTAGTAAGTGGGTGGTGTGCATAAAATAAAACAGGTTGAATAGACTGGTGTATGGTCTGCCCTTGGTTCCAAACCTGTAACAATTTAAAGGACAATGCGAGCAATGCTTGAAGCTCTTTATTCATAAAATAGAAAATAAGGTCGGGTGAGGGTCCAGATGAGTTCATATGGTGATATGTGTTGATATGGTGATCAAATTATGGAAGTTCTACATGTTGCTTCATATTCTTTGCTGACAATTTTCGTTTAATGAGAATGTGAAGCTTTGATAAATGTACTAATTAAATAAGTTGTATCGTTTCTTATTCATAGACTACTTGTTCATGCAAGATTATGAATTCTATAGACAATGTTCTCCAGCTTTCTCAAATATTTGGTGTCAAAGTCATTGAACCTGGGAGTTTAGTACTTGTATTCATCTTTTCAGTTGTTTGGCAGTTAGTAGAGACAACATTAGAAGATGAGAGTTTGTTGGAAGTTACTGAGGAAAGATATATAGAAACTATATTAACTGGAACTCTTGGTGAATCATCCTGGTTTTTGTCCATCTACAACTTACAGTTTCAACATCACCATGCTCCAGGCTGCTGGGATCCAGGTAAATGCCAAACTTTAACTCACAGTATTTTCTATATGTTGAACTATGTTTTTCCGTGGTTATAGATAGCAGACTTATGAGATATTAGCCTAAGTTATTTGACTTTCTTGTAATTAAAGGAAGTGATTAAAAAGTTATTTGGTTTTGTTGTTGCTCAAGTATATTGGTGTTGTATGTATGCTTCTATATATTGGTTTTGAGCATTTGTTCTCTTATTCTTTGTTGCTGCTAACTTTTGCATATAAAAATTTCCGAACTACAACTTTAATTTAAGTTAAATTGCATTTATATCATAGTTTAGTCCAAAATTTGAGTTTTGCTTTTGTATATAGTTTAATTTCCAAAAGATAATATATATGAAAGTTTGGCATTTACCTAGGATCCCAACAGCCTGGAGTATGGTGCTGTTGAAACTGTAAGTTGCAGATGGACAAAAACCAGGATGATTCACCAACAGTTCCAGTTAATATAATTTCTATCATAGTTTTCTTAAACAATCCTACAACTTAGTGATAAGGGTGTTGTTGATATGATACTATAATCCATCAAGACCATCACATGTGATGTTAAATCATGGAACCTTTGGCGCGGGCTAAGTCGTAGAACACATCATCCGCACATCATAGGGTCCCCTCACGTGTATTATCACATGTGATAAAAGTGTTCTCACATTCTCGTAAAATGGAAGTGTTCTCGTTTGAACCTCCACCTTTATATATAAGGGCCTAATCAAATGAGAACTTTTTAGTTGTGGTAACCGTGAGATCCAACGTGAACCAATCATTCAGAATAATTAATATGATTTGCTAAAATAAGTAGAAGAGTAAATTAGTAAAATTGTGTTGAGTATTCAATTTACTTTTATTAGTTTAATATTCCAATTTTGAATTTAATTAGTTGTATCTCTCAGTCTCACAAATGGATCGACAAGTTCCTTCCTTCTCCCTCAACTCCGGTATTGACCTTCATTTTCTCTAATGACCTTCCTTCTCCCTCAACTCTGACCACTACAACATCCCCTCACTATTCATCATATGCCTTCCATAAAGCGTCGATTCCTAGAAAAATCGAACAACGTGATTTTTCGTTAAACCTAGATTTGCATCGCACGTAGAGCTGGAAAATTTATAAGGTTTTCTTTCTTTTTCAGAAACCGATTAGGAACCCAAATTTTGTGTTCCCAGTCGCAACTGGAAAGTCGTTCCACTTTTTGTCCCCGTCCTATATCACTGATGAGGGGTTTCGCCGGAGTTACATCACACTAAAACTCCACCTCTCTATCTCCAACGGAAATTATATCTAGAAACTATTGTATATTATCAACATGAGGATCCAAGAGCTTCAATTAAATTTAGATATCCAGATCAGTGATTTTTTATTAATTTTATATTGTGGGTTTGATTTTTGAGTTTTGGGGTAATCGATTAAATTTAGATTGTGGGTTTGATTTTGATTTTAGGGTTTGGGTTGGTATCATATTGGTATGACATGGTATCTCAATGGGTATCATATTGTGTATCTTTAGGGTCATCGATTAAATCTATATTATGGGTTTGATTTTGTTTTTAAGGTTTGGGTTGGTATCATAGTTGATATCACAATGTATATCACATTGTGTATCTTTGTTGTTACTTGGTATTTGCATTGTGTATCTTTGTGTTTACTTGATATCGGCCGGAATAATGTTCACCGAAGGCCGGAGATCCGAGATCGGAGGTCAGAGGTAGGAGAGAGGAGTTTTTAAACATACCTAAAATGCTCTCTAATTATAACTTTAACTCAAATTACCAAAATAACTAATTTTCTAATTTATTCGTTGATTTGTGGTTAAGATTGGATCTCACAGTTACCACAAACTAATTAGTTCTCCCTTGATTGGTTAGACCCCTATGTGTGTGTGTGTGTGTGTGTATATATATATATATATAGGGGCCTAATCAAATGAGAATTGAATAGTTTGTGGTAACTGTGAGTTCCAATATGAACCAATCATTTTAGATAATTAATGTTATTTACTAAAATAAAACAAAGGGTAACTTAGTAAATTGTGTTGATGATTCAATTTACTTTAATTAGTTTAATATTCCAATTTACTTTAATTAGTTTAATATGTATACATATATATACACAGGGACCAAATCCGGTGGCCTTCTCCGGCACCAACCACCACTCCGGTGGCCTTCTCCGGCACCCACCACCACTCCGGTAACCTTCTCCGGCACCCATCACCACTCCGGTAACCTTCTTTGGTCATCTTGTTTGACCAAGACACCGTATCCGATGATAGACCACTAAACGCCCATATGCGACAGTGGTACCACAGTTGGTATCACAGTGGTCTCAAAGTTTACTTGGTGTGTTTTGAATATCACATTGTGTATCTTGGTGTGTTTTGGGTATCACATTGTGTATCTTGGTATATTTTGAGTATCGCATAGTGTTCGTCGAATGCCGGAGGTAGGTAAAATAGAGAGAGGAGAGATAAAAAAAATACCTAAAATGCCCTTTAATTATAATTTTAAGTCAAATTACCAAAAATATTAGTTTCCTAATTTATCCATTGATTTGTGGTTGAGATTGGATCTCACAATTATCACAAACTAATCAGTTCTTTCTTGAACGGATTCTTATATATATATATATATATATATATATATATATATATATATATATATATAGGGGAGCGATCAAATGCAAACCACTCAATTTGTACAAACCGTGCAAACCGCATTCAACCAATCATAATTTTTCATTCTATTCATTTTTTTATAATTATGAGAGGTTGATTAATCATTTTTATTGTGGAGGGTGTTAATCATAGATATTATCATCTTCATAATTTTAATTTTAGAGAAATACATGAAACAGTTTCATTAAGTATTATATGAAACAATTTCACAACCATATATGAAACAACTTCATCAAAAAAAG